GCTTTTTAGAGGAAAGTGATAAGATGGTATGCCCCATGTGGAGACCAGTTAAGAGTGGGAAGTCAGGACCTTCCCAAATCAAAAGTGAGTTTTATTTCATTAATCAATTCACAGAGACACGTGATGTATTCTGTGCTTCTTTCCCTTTCCTTTGATGTATGGCGAGAAGCTGGGACCAAGAGGGGAACAGCAGTGGTCAGTAAGTGGTCTAAGGGTGAGTACATGACCCAGTTCTGGCCACTATAACATAAGGGAAAGTCCACTGGTGAGTTTAGGGAATATTTCACTCTTTGGTTAAAAATAAAAGAAGAATGCTCACTTCGACAGCACATATCCTAAAATTGGAACGATATAGGGAAGATTAGCATGGCCTCATGCAAGGATGATGTGCAAATTCGTAAAGTGTTCCATATTTTTTCATAAACTATATAAATGTCTAACCAATGTACTATATCCTTGAAACTAATAATAAAATAACATAAAATAAAATGCTTTAAAAAAATAAGAGAAAGAGAATCACGAGAGGAAAAAGTCCCCATGTCCTCCTTAACCTTCATGTTAGGATGCTGTCTATGAAGACAATATACTAGGTACTACAACAGCTATCTTTTGACTAAGAGGAGGGACACTGCCAACATACCGAGATGGCAGAAAGAAAAGAGGAGAAGACTCCAGGTCTTCAATGTCATCACTGAGCCACCAAATATACCCTGAAAATGCCCACTATCAGACTTTTTCTAAAAAATAATTGTCTATTGTTGAAGTTATATTAGTTGATATTCTTATCTGCTGCCAAATACAACCTAAATAATATTCACTGTCATTCAGATAAGGTTAGAAACTAGGAGTTGAGGATTTATTCAGATGGTTGAAGCCCCTGGAAGTGCTAGAGAAAAGCCATGTTGAGTGGGACAGGTCAGAGATGATATTAAAAATACTTAACAACTGGTCCTTATGGACACAAAATAATATGAAAGAACATTGGCCCTATCAGAATGGACACCATCCCGTACATAATAGATATGCCCAAGCCAATGTGTCCCAGCTGAATATCAGCACCAGTATAATTACAAAAGGTAAATCAGGGGACTCAGTTAAACCTATGCTTACAAATGAATTTGCTTGGATCAGATTCTGCCCACAATGTGCCTCTTTTGGAAGTCCTGGCTCTACCTTCTAAAGCCAAGACTTCTGACAACTTAAAGTGGATCAGTGGCTTGTTCAACTCCAAAGACAGTGACTGGAAGTTGTTAACTTATACACTGAACTGCTATGAATGTTGTGGTGGTAGTGGTGCTTTTGAACTGTTAGGTTTTTTAAAAATTTATTTAAAAAGTAATACATAATCTTGGTATAAAAATGCAAAATTTTCAAAGATAAAAAAATAATAATATAAAGTGAGTCTCCCATTCCGGTACCCCCAGAAGTACATTATCAACAACTGTTGCATACATTTGCATAAATTACACAAACATATATGTATATATTTATATATCTTTTTTAACAAAGACAAGAGCCTGCTTACACATATGTATGCACTTTGTTATTCCCACTATTTCTTAGGGCTTGTTCCATATCTGCATATAAATCTAGTTCTTTCTTTTTTACAACTGCACAGCATTCTATTGTATGGATTCATATAATGAATAACTTTTGCAATTAATCCTCTGTTGATGAATATTTCAGGTGTTTGTTATTACAAACTACGCTGTAATAAACACTATTAATTTGAGTGTTTCAGGGTGAAAATAACAGACTACCCAACTAGTTTAAACTATATGGAGTTATTATCTTACATAACACAAAATCTAAGCTAGGTGGTCCCAGGGTAGATTAATTCAGAGGCCTAACAATGTCATTAGGGGACCAGGTACTTTTCCTATTTCTCTTACCATTCTCAGAGTGTTGAATTTTTTGCCTTAGGTTATTGGCTTACATCGATTGAGATTCATCCTCCAGGGCTAGGGAAGAACACACTTTTCCTGAGCACAGTGCATCCTGATATCTGAACCAACTCAAGGTCCTATTGGCAAGAAGAAAAGATGAAATGGCCATGGGTTAGCCAGCAAGAGAATCTTCCACTAACACTCTTGTACATCCATTTGCATGTATGTATGCAAGTATATTCATTAAACAATGTCTTTGCAATAGATTTGTTGGGTCAAAAAAGTTTGTTCATTTAAAATATTGAGAGACATCAACAGATGAATGGATAAACAAAATATGGTGTGTGTGTGTGTGTGTGTGTGTGTGTAAAATAGAATATTATTCAGCCTTAAAAAAGAATGAAATTCTAACACATGGTACAACATGGGTACACCTTGAAGACATAATGCTAATTGAAATAAGCCAGACACAAGAGGACAAATATCGTATAATTTTACTTATATGAGGTACCTAGAATAATCAAATTTATAGAGATGGAAAATAGACTGGTAGTTACCAGGGACCGGTAGATGAGGGAGTGAGATTTCATTCATTCATTCATTCATTCATTCATTCATTATTTAGAAACTTGAATTAGGGAAGATTAAAAGAGTTCTCGAGATAGTGGTAATGGTTGCACAACAATGCAAATGAACTAATACCACTGGACTATACACTTAAAAATGATTAAAACGGTAAATTTTATGTTATGTATATTTTATCACAATAAAAAATGTTGATAGATATTGCCAAATTGTCTTCAAAGAGGCTTCAGCATTTAATTCTCCCACTCCTTGTGCACAGACCAGGGCTTGAGTTCCTTGTGATGTTTTGAGCCCGGTATTGGATCAAGGGTCCACAGGTGGTGGCACAGACGGTCTTGGTGAATGTAAGACCTTTTTATAAGATCAATAGCAGAATAGTCTGGTTTTAGAAGTGAAGGAAGACACCCCAGGAGGGGAGGGCTGGGCAGGCATTCCCTTGTCTTCCTGGAGTTCATTTCACCTCTGCATCACTTCCTTTCCCGAAGCACTTCAATCCCTCATGGTGGCTCCAAGACTGTCCCCCTCTAGTTCTCTGACTGAAGTGAGCACAATGGTCTAGTCCCTTATTTCCCCTTGTTAAGAAAAATTATGCAAAAATTGGAAATTCATCAAAAATATTACTGCAGGCCCTTTCAAAGCCACATGACTGAGTCTGTGTAACAACCTGCAGACAAGTTGTCTGATTATCTAAGGGATATAACTTTATTTGACCTCCTATTTACAATTGATTAGGCCAGGCTCCATAAAGCTACATTTAATGTATAAAAGAATGATACATTTTGCATTTGACTTTCTTTTTTTCTTTTTTCTTTTTTTTTTGCCAGTAACAATGTAAATGATTTCTGTCTGGCAAAAAACACAAGCCCAAAGGTTATGTATGGTTTCTCTGTGAGGACATTAACTTGTTTTTTCTCTAACTCAGCCATATTATTCAATGTTTTTCTTTTTCACTGACCCTATATACTTCAGCCTATTCTCCTCGAACTAGCTTTGTCATTATGCCAGTTCTCTTCTTAGTGAGCTAAATTAATGACAAGGGCTCATTTATGTTTGTATGAGAGTATGTTTTTAACTTTTTGAAAATTATTCTTTGACACTCTTAGCTCTAGCAGGCTTTCAAAATGACTTTGCTAAATATTAAAGAAAGAGAATAAACAAGGAATTTGAAGCCTTAGAATAGTCTGGATCCTGATTCTATATCACAGTTAAGGTGCGATCTACTTCACACCTTGTCCCCAATGTTTACAAGTGGCTGCTGCAGAAGGCCACAGTGACCCTTCTGAGTTTCCTTGCACACAGCGCAATCGGGCCAGTTGCCAAGTCCAGGCCCTCTGGCACCTCCTGTTAGGCCACAAAACCACAAAACCATCCAAATCTACCACTAGGGTTTGAACCCTGTTTCATGATTTGGGGGTGAATTTTCCCCAGATGGTGAGCAGGACTGTCGAGATTGGCCATGGCTGTGTCTTCCCTCCTCTGGACTCCCCTTTCTCACCACCAGCTGGACAGGACTTGGTCTCTTTCAGCACCCTTACTATCCATGACACAGATGTGGCCTGGGAAGCCCTTAGCCTCAGGGAGGCACCCTGTCCCTTCACCTTTGCACCTGAATGGCTGGAGCTGTGTGCATGCCCAGGATTCTCCTTCCCTCTGCAAATTGCCTATTCCCACTGCAAATCCTGTCATGCACAGTGGCTGTTTCCCTCCTTCGGTCCCACCCCGGAACCCAGCTCCCTCTTGGTTTCCCGGAGCCATCACTTGCCCGAAGCAATTGTGTACAGCAGATCTTACAAAGATCTAGAGAGAGGTTACCTTGCAGCACTCACTGCATGCCACCATTTTCACATTTACTTTAGAACCAACCTGCCTTCTTAGAGTTTTGCTGGCTCACCCTTCTCAACTAGATGATCGGCTCTTTGATGCCAGGCCTGAAGCATTGTTTGCTTCTTTGTTGGCATGTTTTGATGGAATCATGTTTGTGAAGCTTTGAGCACAGTGACTGGTGTGTAATAGGGGAGCTGACAGTAGACCCAGAGCAGAAGCCCTTATAAGAGAGCGGAAGCCCTTATAAGAGAGCAGACTATGCCACCTCAAGTGTGCCTCTTTCGTTAAGGATTATTTTGAACTCATTGTTTTGAGAAACAGCAGACACAAGAGAAGCTTTGAAAACAGAGTAGAAGTTACCCTTTTGTAAGGGAAATTTACATTTATAAAGGAAGTCTCCTTCAGTACCAGGAAAAGAAGGCTGGCCCTATATCATAAGAGGCTATAATGGAGAAGGCACTGACTTAAATCTGCATGACAAAGCTTACCCCTTTGATTGTATTTTCCTGGTTATTTTCCAATAACTTGCCTCTCCCACACTTTTCTTTCTTTGTTTAAGCTGAAGATGGTGTTTAAGTTCAAGTTCTAGCTATCTCTTTGAGTTACTCTTCTCTGAGTTTCTCCCACTGTAGGAAATATACAGAATAAAACACTCTTTGTCTTTCTCTTGTTAATCTGTCTTTTAAACCAAAGGCCCAAGTCAAGAACCTAAGAGTAGAAGGAAAAGAATGTTTTCCCTCCCCTATACCAAAGGCCCAAGTCAAGAACCTAAGTAAGAGTAGAAGGAAAAGAATGTTTTCCCTCCCCTATACCACCTACTTCAAGGTAAAACCAGATGGAACTAGAAACTGTAACTCCAGCCTTCCCTGGAACCTTGGCTCCTGCTGCTGCCCCCTTAGGCAGTCTAACAGCTTCTGTTTTTGTTTTTAATAGTAAAAACAAAAACAAATACATTTTAAAACCTAAAAACTTAGTACAAAGGAAACTTTAAAGGGGTAATGTTCTATTTCGTTTTTTTTTTTCTTTCAAATTTTATTATGGAAATTTTCAAACTGTTGAATCAAAAAGTCGAAGTGGGCTTTTTCCCAAAATGGGCTTTTATCCAGACGGCTGGACTGCAAG